GGCCTCCAGGCGTCCTCCAGGGACTTCGACGGACAACTGGGGGTGTACGGTAACCTACAATCTAGGTCTGACAGTCGAAGGCGGCGTGGGGCGGCGGAGGTCGGCGGCAGACGGCGGTTCCGGCTCTGATACCACTGTAAGGATCGTTTCCATCTCTGGCTCATGTCTCCAACCTTCTATACTAAACTCACACACACCACTCTAGGGCTAGGCCACTCCGTCTCCCATGTTTACTCACTCTTCTTCACTCCATCAAGGAACTCTCACACAAAGGGAAAGGAAGAAGGAAGACACTGCACAAGGAGTATTCTCGCAGGCTTATTTCACAAAGAAGGGGGGAGTGTTGACTTATAGTAGGCTGCCAGCCTATGGGCAGACAACAAGGACAGTCACAAGATGGCAAAGGACACTCACGGGTATGTCACAGGACACTCACGGGTATAAGCCAAGGCAATCAAAAGGGAGCAGCGGACAGAAGCAATGGGACATACTCCAGATAAGTCAACAGGCCACCAATGAGTGATTTCAACTCAGGGAATTGAATCAAAGTGGGAGTAAACATGGGGTGCAAGCATAAATAATAAAGTAGAAGGGAGACCTTGATAGGACCAATACCTCCAAGAAAAAATATTCAAAACAAAGAACTATTATGCAAAATAAGTTTTACAATAAGCTGATACTATATTCAAAGTGTAAATAATAATAAATATTCGCACCCTTGGTGGGCATTCATACCTAGGAGTAGTGCTGGACTCGGGCCGGGCGGCCCGGCCCGGAACCGGCCCGGCCCGGTTACTGTTAGGCCCGGCCCGGCCCGGGGCCCGGTGGGTCCACCGGTTCGGTTCGGCCCGGCCCGGCTGCTGGGCGGTTCGGGCCCGGGCCCAGGTTTTGGTGAACCGGCCCGGCCGGTTCGGGCCCGGTCCGGGCCGGATTTTAATTTTTTTTTTTTTTTTTTTGAAATTTTTTTAAGTTTTAGGTTGGATTAGGTATTTTGGGCCATTTGAGGTGGTTTGGGATGGTTTGGGGTTGAGGGGGAGGGGTAGGGGATTAAATAGGAGACCAAAAAAAAAAAAAATTAAGTGGGCCGGTTCGGCCCGGCCCGGCCCGGCCCGGTTTGGCCCGGAACCGGAACCGGAACCGCCCACCGGCGGTTCGGGCCCGGGCCCTAGTTTTCTGGCCCGAGGCCCGGCCGGGCCCAGGCCCGAACCGGGCCCGAACCGGCCCGAGTCCAGCCATACCTAGGAGATACGAAGTTATTTAAAAGAAAAGTGTTGATTACTATTCTCGAAATAATTACTATTAGCGAAAATAAAGAGATGAAGATGTTTTAAACAAATTATCATTCTCTTTAATGTTCCCAAAATTCAAAGAGACATTTGTGGATAGAAATTGATAATTATTGAAATAAACAAAATTTAAAAAAATGGAAAGGAGAAGTGGAGAGGTTGTTTCGTTTCGAAGAGGAAATAGAGACTTCAAGTGAATATGTAATAATTAGACTGAAATTTACAAACAATTACTAGTACACTTTTACCTAATTGTAAAGTAATCCAAGCGGGTGTACCATATAGTTTGTGGTTGCTAGTTAGGCCGTGTTGGCATAACCAAGGAACAACTGTGCTTTGTAGTAAATGATTTAAAATATGTTCTTTTTTTAAAATAGTTTGTGAACAACATTTGGGACGAGAGAAGGTGTCACGATTATCAAGAAAAGTTAGTTTGTATGGTTGATATTAAATTGATAAAGGCTTTGTTTGCAATCACTTGTGCTTAAAATAAAAGCACTTTTGAGGAAAAAGTGATTAGCAGTAAAAGTTGGTAGTGTTTGGTAAAATAAGTGTTTTTTGTGTAATAGAAAAAGTAAAAAGTAGATTCTTCACGGAAGCCGAGAAAGTAAAAGTTGGTAGTGTTTGGTAAAATAAGTGTTTTTTTCTTAAAAAAAAGTTAAAAGCACCTTTTTTAATTGATTGCAAACGGACCCAAAGTAAGAATAAAGTAAAAATGATTTAGAGCCACACAATCTTTACCAAATTTGGCATGAGACAATGTTAGTGGGACTTCCTGAAAAGGTAAAATGAGACAATCTTAGCGGGATGGAGGGAGTATTTGATCAATTATAAAACACATAAAGAATTAAAAACTCATTATTTCTGTAAAAGTGTTATTACAATATATATGGTACCCAAGTGAGAAACAGGGCTGTTTTTTAACATGTTAATTAGGTTCGACAGAACAGGGCCTCACTTTTATTGGGCCCCCAATATTTATAAGACGCTAGTGTATAGTGTATACTATCGTATATGAATATGGGTTGCAGCTAAATTCATACTCCACTACTCCATAGAGATTACAAAAATTGAAACACTTCACAAAAAATGTAGAGATTAATTATTTGAAAGGGGAAAATTACTACATGTAATTCTTTAATTGCATTATTTAATGAGTATTGAATTGATTTTAGTATAATTAGAATTTACATTGAACATATTTTTTGTTTTTTATATTAATGTGGGGTCTCAAAATTCATTAGACGGCCCTGATGAAAAATGGGGCTCTAAATGGATCCCAACATGATGAGCTGAAGTAGGTGTTAATGTGGGGCCTAAAAAATCTATAGCGTTACGTGAAAAAATGAATTTGACTTTATGATTTTATTAATTGAAAAACAAAACTGATAAAAGGTGGAGGCTAAATGAATGTAGGATTACGCTTTTATTTATGAGTATACTTTTTACCTTATTGACATAGTTAGTTGATTTGATTAGTATTTATAGAGAAAAAATCCACTAATATTCCTTCTAGAAAAGTGATGAACAAAAATGTGACTTATTAACTTTTAATGAGTATAATTGTGTTCAAAGTCGATATCGTAGTCACTAAAATTAGTAACTTTGAACACAATTATAGTCACTAAAAGTTACGAAGTTACTTTTTGTCCATGATTTTCCTATTAGTAATATTTTAGGAAAAAAATTTTTATTTATGGCCGTATAGATTAGATGATGTTGGATTATTTTCAGAGAAAATCTTATATTGGGTTGAAAGTCGATTTCATAAGGTTGAACTAAGTCTCAACTATGTCGCGAACTTCCTCCTTTTTTTTGAATGAACCAACTTCTTCCGATCCTTATATCTTGTTATAATTTTTCTTTGTTTCATTACATAAATAGAAAACTTGTATGTAGTATTAGTTATATATGTTTCTTCCAACAATAACTTTTCTTTCATTAGTTTAACTTTATGTACTTATCAATGCATTAAAAAAGTATCTGTTTCCCATATAAATTCTATATATTTAAATTTGAACCATATAATGATTTGCCATTAACACTATAAAATAAAAACAGATTCTTAAACTCCTATGCATGTATAATTTCTACTTTGAAAAGTAGACGTCAAATCGAACATTGATATTTTGAATTATGGCTAAAATGTGATGCATATTTAAGGGTAGAAATTTTTTATGTTGAACATGTTTTTTTTTCCTAGACAATTGATAACGACATGAATTGATGATATTGTTAAGACATGATGTCACACCGTCTAGAAATAAAACTGTACCGAACACTTCAAATAGTTTCGATACGAGGTTAGATTTGATAAAATATTGGACATGCCCGACCCTCCAAATTTGATAAAAGGCGTGGACGTTATGCTTAATAATATTTTGTGTAAAATGTGATATGAAGTATGGAGTATATGATTTCTTTTACCAGTACATCCCAATTTCCAACACTTCATCTTATTTACTACAATAGTTGTAAGTTTTATAATACATACTTATAAAAGGTGGGATGTTCCCCGGCAAAAAAAATACTGTTAGGTGTGACTGTGTGACCGATAACTCCAACACATAGTAACACTCAATTATACGGAGTATATGTTATGGCCCAATAAGTGTTTTAAATCGTTAGAATTTATCCATTTAATGACAACCAAATCAAACTGGTTAATACCCCCGAAATGGCATCTTCATAAAAAACACTCAATTTGGATGTTCTTTACACGTACTAGTAAACACATAGAATCAAAATAAAAAGTATTAAACAACGTTGAGGAAAATAAACACGGAAAGAAGCATGTCATGAGTGAATACTTGACTTATACCATCGAACAAAGCAATCTATATCAAGTAATATTGCACAATAAAATATTATAAGTGCATAAAGAATTGCAAAAGGCATTATATGTAGCGAGAGTGAATATTTCAAGTTCTGCTATCGGAATATAAAGCAACATGTGTGAGTACAATCTGAAGAAGTGATTTGGAGTTCTAATGAGAGGTGAAAACGTTGTCTAATATTGGACCAAATATTGATAAGTGAAAACGTTGTTTGGTAAATAGTAGTTCGATCCTAACGTTTTAAATAGGAATCACTGAAACGAAAATACTTCAAATAAAATAATTTTGAATTAGCGTTTTGAAATATGACATTCTCTACTAATTGTTATTACTAAAAAGATAAATTATCAAATATCTTTTCACAACTCGCCAACTTATTTCGCTAGTCAAACTCGTTGACTAAATCCACTATTGATAACTCATTAACGTAGAGCCCATTTGGTAACCATGATTTTTGGCTTTTCAGGCTTACCAGCCATATTTTTCACCATACATGTAACTTTTAGTTTCGCAAGCTGAATTGTGTAATAATAAGAAAAAGTAAGGTTGTAGTTACTTTTTTGGCTGTATTGGCTGAAATTACTGAAGAGGACCATTTTAACTACTTTTCATATAATTTTTTCTTTATTTTATTAATAAAATACGGAGTATATTTCTTACGTAGTAATTTTTTTCACAAATCAGCAGAATCAGCCAATAGAGCTACTTCAGTTAGAATTTCACAAATGTTGGTAGAATCAACTGATACTACCGACCGATTAATGTGTTACCAAACGGACCCATAATCTGCTATCCGTTAACCGATAAATGTCAAACCTGCATGCAAGATTGACCATCATTTCCAAAAGGGAAAAGGAATCACATCAAACATGTGCTCCATTTTCTGTCTTTCAGTTTTTCGAAAAAAAAAAACAGAAAATGTTTTCGTTAATTAACAACCCCAAAGGCCAAAGTGCTGACAAAATTAACACAAAAACCCAGCTTGGGACCAGCTGGGTCCGTTTCGTACAGGTCTAGGAAGGATTACTAAACTAGAGAATGTGTTCGGATCGGGTGGGGCAATTGCGCCATGAAATTATGGTTGAGATTGCATCTGGATGGTCGATGGAGTACCCAAATAACTAAAGACAACACACCCAAACCGACAAAAGACGAAAACTTGGGACTTCTTTAGTTGCTGTATACCTGCAGTGTGTGTGAGAGTTAGTTGCTACCCATAAAAACCATGGACGTCTAAAGCCGGAGTTCCAGCCAAAACCGCCCTTTCTTTAAGCATCGTTTGGCTCACCATTCTGCTTTATCCTGTCAAGAAATCATGGATGCTGTAAAGGAGCAATCTTTGGCCAAACAGAATGTTGAAGACTCTTCCTCCACACCAGCTCCGCCGCCGCTGCCGCCTCCTTCTCCCGGGCCGCCACCTTTTCCTCCTAGAAAGGCACTTTTCTGGCCCGCGCTTTATTAGTCTTAAAGAAGTGTCTTTTGTTTGTTCTTTTTGTTTTGGACTCCTTACCCATCCATCATATGCTCCTTTCTGTTTGATATGTGTTCTTGCTGAATTACTTTATTTATTTTTTATTAATTGAATTTCGATTTCTCTTTCCATTTCTTGCTGGTTACTTTATTTGACACATAACCTGTACCTACCTGTATTTGTTTAGGCTTTCCCTTTTCTTGTTTAAAGCTATTTGTTTCATGAAGTGTGATTTTTCTGTTCTAGTGCTTTAGGTGGGCATTTAGCTACTTTTTCTCTTTTTGGTAGTCTATTTCGTTGGCACCAATTTCAAGATCTTTTTAAATCTGAATTGTATATTAAAAACTACTCTGTATGAGATATTTTTCTGTTCTTTTGTTTAGGGCCTCTTCGTTTAATCCAGAAAAGCTCAATTCAGCTAACTGACAAGAAATTTAGCTTCCTGTGTAATTACACAAGGTCTGGTTAGGGGAAGAACTCTTACCCGTGTACTGTTCTTGATTAATTTGCAGGTCAATTGGCGTTTAGGGTATGTCTGGACCCCAGAAAAGGGTGGGAAAACAAAAACTAATGCTAAAGAAATTTAATTTCTCGTGTTTGCTTTTACTTGTGAAATGAAGGGAAATGATCTACAATTTTTTTAAATAACACACACTCACACACATATATATAATTTTAACTTTATATGACCCGAGTTAAATAAATAAAACTGGCTTTAACAATATAAAAAAATATAATTCTGCCAAGTGTTGAGCTTTTATTGTTTTAAATTTGTTTCCTTCCAGTTATCTTTTCTCTTTCCATCCATATTGTCTTCCTCAAGCATTTTGTGAGTTCTGTATGCACCCTGACATGATGTAGAGATTCGTGATGCTGAGTTGATTCCATCGATATGACAACTCTTTACTATAGATGATGATGTTGTTTTTAGCTCATGAGCTAGTAAATTCATTATATTCTTGAATGTCTATGTAGGTAAATGAATCGAGTGAAATCATGGAGGAGCAGTCTCTAAATCTGAATGAGAAGAGGAAAAACTTCATTTTGGAGATACCCAAAAGATCGGTTGAGGAAGCATCAGAAAATTCTTTGAGGTCACCTATACCCCTATCACCAAATCCAAAAAGAGTGAACTTTTCTCCTTTACCGAGCCCTTGCCATGATAAAACAGATGGGTCTCCAGGTCCATCATCTAGGGGTAAATCATTGATGAAAAATTTTATTCCTAAAATAAACTTCAAATTCCGGAACACAACACTAGACATTGAAAGGGCTGCTATCCTAGCTCTTGGTGGGTCCCCGGTGAGACAAGAGAAACCTTCTCTATTTAGCCAACTCTCTGTAACTAAGATTTTCAATCAACGACTGAAAAGAACATCATCATTGCCTGTAAGTCCAATTGCACACTCAAATCCTGAATCAACCCATGGAGGAAGTTCTTCAACTGTGAGTATTCTAACCTAAAAATTGATTCATTCATTTATTTGGTCAACTTCTGTACATTGTATGAGCTCTAACTTAATGCTTATATTGTTAACTGGCGAATAGAAAGTGGGTATGGAGTACCCAATACACAGATCACACTCAGTTCCTGATTTAAACAAAGATGGAAGCTCAAGACAAGGACATATAGGGAGCCTATATCGTGTCATTCCCTCAACTAGCCCTCAAGTTACAGCCCAGTCTATAACTACAGCTAAAGGTGCTCCAGCTGATGGTATAGGCACTTCCTCTATGTTACTCTTTCCATTTCATATTATAGGGAATTTGTTTACTTTTCTTTTATCTTTTGGAATATGTCAGTTTAGAAACTTTAGGTAGTGTATGTTTTTATGGCCAATTTACCATTCACTCCTATGAAATACTACGTACTTCGTTTCCAAAAATTCCAATAAGCTTTGGATGATGACTTTTAGAGCCAAGTGCTATGATACAAATAAAGGCAAGTCGGTGGGGTTGGTCTGGTTGCTCAACTGGTTGATAGTGTGATCTAAAAGATGAAAATCCTGGTTTGATTCCTATCAACTACGCCAGCCTCGCCAGGGGCAACTTGCTCAGCAAGGGGTCCTGTAAGCACTAAGTGTAGACCCCCCACACTCTAACCATCTAAGCAAAATATTGTGCTGGTTTTTCGGGACCCTTGGGGATCGAGAGCATCTCTTTGTTTATAGTATAATAATAAGGGTAAGACTGTAAGAGTGTATAATTGTACTTGCTCCGTCCAAGTACCGATTCATGGTTCATGAATGCACAACTTTTCAATTGTAGGAAGGTACAACTTCTTGGAATTATCCATCCCGCTTATATATTTAAAGTATATGATTTTAAAACTACATTACGCACACTTCACTTGTTTGAGCACTTATTTTGAAAAATTAAATTGGGATAAAGAATATATCCCAATTCATAACTTTTTGTTGTCCCGAAAAAACACCATATTTGAGCAAAAGAAGCTAACTTTGTTGATCAAGGGTGGCATAACAAATAGCATCTATTCGGGTTCTACTATTTGAACTCTTTGCCTTTTGGTCTATTCATTCAGATGGAAACGAGAATTTGGGTGAAGACATCACTCAAGAAGATGCAGTATGCAGAATATGTATGGTTGAGCTTGGGGAGGGTACGGACACCCTAAAGATGGAATGTAGTTGCAAAGGTGAACTAGCCCTAGCCCACAAGGAGTGTGCTGTGAAGTGGTTTAGCATAAAAGGGAACAAAATCTGTGATGTATGCCGGCAAGAGGTTAAGAATTTGCCCGTCACGCTTCTAAAGATTCAAAACAACTTATCAGGGTTTGGAGTGGCACAGGCTGCTATTCTTCAATATAGGCAAGTGTTGGGAACTTCTACTCTGTTATTTATTTTAACTACAATTGATACACCGATTTGTTCCGTTAGCGTTTGATCTGTTTTCTGTAAGTAGCTCAAGTTCATCTCCATTAAAATTTACTTTGGGGATGTTGGAAACTCTACAGGATTTGGCAGGATGTTCCTATTCTTGTTATTGTCAGCATGCTTGCCTACTTCTGCTTCCTAGAGCAACTTTTGGTATGTCAAGAGACTCGAGACAGTGTATTTAGCTACTCCATCCGTGCACTTTTATTTTTTCTAGTAGTTTTTCACTGAAATTAAGAATAATAAAGTTGTAGAGTGGTAAATAAGAGTAAAAGTAGGAAAAAGGAAAAAGTAGGAGAGGAATTGAAAAAGTAAGGGTATTTACTATTTATGTCTTCAAGGGATTTAAAAAGTAGGAAAAATTTCAAAAATGTAAAGTAGAGCAAGTAGTAATAAACTTCCGTCAAAGGAAAGGAGATCAAGTAATAGTGAATAGAGGAGTTTGGTGCCATTGCAATAGCCAATGCCAAACACCTATTAATGAACCTTTGAATCACATAACATGATAATCAATGTTAAACGCTTATTAAATAGTTCTTGGCACACTCCAAATAAATTTGGTGCGACTTACAATGATTCATAACACATTTGTATGTAGGTTGCTAAAATGGGGTCTGGTGCCATTGCAATATCTCTTCCATTTTCATGCATATTGGGTCTCCTTGCATCCATGACATCCACTACTATGGGTATTTGATTTTTTCCCAACCTTCTTCGATGAATATTGTGAAATATGTCCCGACCTCTTTTGATTTTGATTCTTTGTTTTCAGTGAGGCGGAAATATGTGTGGGTGTTTGCTACAAGTCAGTTTGTTTTGGTGGTTCTTTTCGCGCACATTTTCTATTCACTGGTAAGCTGTGTTGAATTTGAAAATTACACGCAATTCACTTGTTAATTCTGATTAATAACATTGAAGGAACGTTCTTAAAGGTTCCGTTTGATGAAAATATAATTATGTCAAATGGGAAAACGGGTCACTTATGGAGTATGTGTTTTGCTAAAAAAAAAATCCTTCTTCAGGTATAAATAAATACTTTTTTTTATTAACAAAGACAGAACAAGTCATGCTGCTTCATGAACTTTTCACAAAGTTCAAGATTCACAAAAATTATTTTCTTCAAGGATGTGTTTGTGTCCTGGAAAATGCCATGGAAAAGGAGAAAAATGCCGAGGAAATGAAATATGATTAGCGTTGATAAAATTTGTATTCGTCTTTGAGCCCTCTTGGTAAGAGTTGTTTGGCTTAAAATGACTAAATCAGTTTTTGTTTTGGAAAGAAAAAGATATGAAAAACAGGTTTTCAAACAGAACCAGAAGAATAAGGCACATTATACTATAATAGATATAGAAGAAAACAAGAGTCTGAACAAACAGCTTAAATATATCAGTTTTAGATAAAACACGAGAAAATCTAGAAAACATTTTGCTGGTGTCTTAGTTATGAAACCTTTGGGTTAATATAATGCAACCCCCCTCCCCATGCTGGATCTACAGCTCCACATCCAAGCAGTTTTATCTGTTCTTCTGGCGTCATTTGCGGGTTTTGGTGGGGTAATGTGTGGAACGTCAATCCTCTACGAACTTACAAAGTGGATGAGGTTGCAGTTTTCGTCGGATCAACAACCTTCTCAGAGGCCCGATCGGGCTTCAGAATCCAATCTCACACCTCAAAGTGACCACCATCCAGTTGACATTGAAAGTGGGAATGCTGGAGCAGAACAAGCCAGACTGTAAATATATTATTCATATACGCGAGTCATATGCATACCTACATATGCTTATTTGTCATTGAAAGTTATTTTGGAATCTGCTGATGACAAGATATTTGTAAATTTTCCACCTAAGTAAACATATGAGGCCTTGTTGTTTTTTATATACCCGTAATTTTTTTTACTCCTTCCTGGTTTATTTCGTTTTTGCATTCCTAGAGGAAGTCCAGCAAAAATTGGGTGCAATAGAACATTGATACCCTCTTTTCTTTGTATAGCATAGTTAGTTCTACCTAATCGAATTGAAACATTCTGTCCAATATATGTGATAGGCGATACAATGGTGCATGTAATAAATGTTTGATGGTCATGCAAAGCAAACGAAACAGCTGTTTAATTTATTAAGCCATTTATACTTAGAAATTATAAAGGTGCAAATTTGCTTGTAAGGTCTTTGAATACTATTTAGAGGTGGTAAAACCCTGAAGGCGGGCACCCGCCTTGTCAGTTTCTAGACCCGAATCAATATTTTGAGTACCGTTTGAAACTTGTTAAGCGCTCATTTTTATTCTTTTTTAGAAAACTAGGCTCAAGTATTCAAACAAGTCTAGAACGACTCCAAAGTCCAAAGCCAAAACTTGAATCTGTGTATTCTTGAAATTGGAATCGGCTGGTCTTGATTAGATCTTTCTCTACTCTTATTACGTTAGCTCGGAGGGGACAAGGTAGGCTTGGACCCGGTTCGGGCCACCCGGCCCGGCCCGGCACTATTTGGGCCCGGCCCGGCCCGGGAACCGGGTACCGGAACCGGGTCTAGGCGCAGTTTGAATGGGAAACCGGGGGCGGGTACGGGCTTAGGGAATTGAGAACCGGCCCGGCCGGTTCCGGGCCCGGTTCGGGCCTTTTCAATTTTTTTTGTTTTTTTTTTTTGTTTGGGGCTTTGTGCTGGGTTTCAATGGGTTGCAATGGGTGTTTTAAATAGGTTTGTGGGATGGGGAGATGGGGGTAGGGGATAAAATAATCAAGAAAACAACAAAAAAAAAAAAAAGAAACGGACCCAACCCAACCCGGGCCCGGACCGGCACCGGTCAACTACCGGGCCGGTCTCGGTTCTCACAATTTTTTTTTGGGCCCGGCCAGGCCTAGGCCCAACCCTGAACCAGGCCCGGTTCAGTCCATGACTAGGACAAGGTTCTGGAACCAAATCAAAATTGGTTGGTTTTTAATCGGACTTGAACTCATCTCGAGGAAAGAAAGTTGAAATGGGATTAGGAATCATTTCAAACATGGGTTTGGTTTGGCATATATGTGATCAGATCTGGTCAGTTCTATACTTCTATATGGTTTGATTATATATCACACATAATTTTTTATCAAATGAGAACGTGATATAAAGAGGGAAATAAAATTGAATAAGGTGTGTTAGATTTGAGAAGTGTGCGTGATGATATGAAATTAGTCATGGACCCGGGCCGGGCCGGGCCCGGCCGGGCTTTTTTTTTTCGGGAAGGCCCGGGACCGGACCGGACCGGGTAGCCACCGGGTCCGGTCCGAGTCCGGGCCAGGCCTCCGGTTCGGTCATAATTTTTTTTTGTTTTTTGCTTTCCTAACCCCCCCACTCACCCCCACCCCCAAAACCCTCCTAACCATCAAGCCCAACCCAGCTAACCCCAAAAAATGAAAAAAAAATCAATTCGGCCCGGGCCCGGGCCGGTTCGCAAAATACAAGGCCCGAGCCCGGACTCGCCCCCTCCACCGGGCCTAGGCCCGACCCGGACCCGGACCCGAGAACCGGGTCCATGCCTATATGAAATAGAAAAGTGCAATACCTTGAATCAGAAAATGTAGTATACTTTAAACTTTAATACAAATAGTTTTTATCTTAATATACGGCATATATATTTCAACTTTTTATATGTACTTTCAACTTTAATCACAAATATGAAGAAAAATACTTGTATATTAAGATAAAAACTACGACATATATTTTTCTGTATATTTACTTAAATTTTATCCATTTTATAATTATTTAATATTTATAATAACATAATGCAGTTAAGTGATTAGTTATCATATACGAAGTATTATTGCATTTGACAATTCTATCATTAATGCCTGCTAATGCACGTGTATATATTTTTCATGCACACACAAACACGATACTGCGGGTTTACTATGTATTATTTATCATATTTATGCAAAAATATTGATAAAAATACAATTTATGTGTCCCCGCCTAGCCGCCTAGGCATTGGACTGGCACCCGACTAGCGCCTAGCGCCTTGGAAGGGACCAAGTATGTTTTACCACTAAAATATGACGTATGTCTTATTAAAAGAATAAAATAAAAACTTTCCAACATATAAGGAAGTGAGTATTATGTGGAGAAAAAAATGTGCTAGCTTGCCTATGTCACCACATTCATGGTGTGTGCCATTTTCTCTTAGTCTCTATTTTAAACTCGACTCTAGACTGGGTCAACTTATGTCTTCTATAACATTTCACAGACCCTCTGCAGCATTGCCTCGGTAAAAACAAAAGCAAAACTAAACAAAAACTAGGTACCATGATTTAATTATTCGAATGGGGAACCCTTGAAACAATGAAAATGATACATACGATCTCTAAAAAACTATTACCATATTAGCGTCTTTAAATCTCCACATGTAGACTACATAACTATTCGGAAAGTCACTCAAATCATCAATCTTAATGTGATATGTCCTAACCATCCAGTGGGTTTAACTTGATCAAATTTCCTTCAGATCTTCAAGCATGTGCATCCAACAAAGTGATAATCTTTCCTTAACAATACCCACTTTCTATAAGATCTTGAAAAGTATCCAGAAATAACTGAAAATTGAGGACAACTACAATCAAATTAATTGGATTAGTGTTTGGAATTCTACAGAAACAAGGGTAGACACATGTTAATAAACTACTGGCCGTGTTGTGCAATGAGAATTGGCAGTGAGAGTTTCTACAAGACTGCCTAGAATTAAACACTGTAGGCTGTAAGCATTTATTCCCAAATGACCATTGAATTTTTTTATATAAACATGTTCTTATTTTGATAATTACATAAGTTGCCCGAAATACTTTTTCCTATAACCCCTCACAACAGTGATGAAAAAAATTAGAAACATTGCTTACTTCATATATTAATAATAAGTTTTGGATGATAATTAATTAGACTGCTGATTCCTACACCGCTCTTGTTATTCACGCATCTTTCCCAACGTAGTTCCCATTTATTTGATAGGTTTTGATTCATTTCACTAACAACTATGTTAGCCATTGAACGGGATCCATATATAAGAAACTTTACAAGCTATTGCTTGGTACCCCCATTATCACTGTGGACCAAATACCCTTCTGATCAATTACTCTACTGACTCAGCAACCTCTTCTTCAAATTGTTTAACCTCTTCATGAGCTTTATTTTAAAAGCCTCTCTGATAGAAAGATGTTTCTGTCTAGATATTTTTCTGTTCTGAAAATGCTCATGTTCAAGCTACATACGTATGTCCTTTACAAACCACACTATTCCTATTCCTAATTTGGAAAAGATTTCTTTACAATTAGCTAAACTATCATTTAGTCAATCCAACAACACAGTTAAACATTAATACCCAAGCAAGGCATGCACCTTAAAGCACATCATACAAGCCAAAACCTAACCATGATGTAGAATAGAATAGCATGGAAGCTCAGCCAATCATGGTACGCTTTCTACCTCTTTGGCGAACTGAAATTATGAAAGAATCACATATAGAGAGATGTATTATAATTAAAGAATAAAAGTCATTGAAATAATATCTTAATGCTTCATCACAGGGGATTACAGAAGAAGAGAACATGAATAAAGCATAAGGGATTACAAAACCTTGTGCAAGCTTGTTTAGAGTAGATGACCACTGTTTAGAGGACTTCCTGTATGCGGCAAGTGTCCGATCCATCTATTCACAATTTCACATTGTACATAAAACAGATACTTTGCTTCTATAACATCAACAACCCAGCCTTTGAAAAGCCACAATAATAATATACTAATATACCATTAACATAACCTTTCATATATTGAGGAGATCGACACTTATAGAGTATTTTTTTTATATAAAGGCGTTGTGGTTTATAAAGATAGCACAAAAGATCAAACAATGTTTTTCAAATGGCCGAATAATTGTGAATTAAAACTGTGTGATTTATGTTAACCATGAAGCTCATTAATCATGCATATGATAATACTCAAAAATAAACAAACTCTATAGTAGAGGATGATCCAGCTCACCACATTTCCACATGAAGAGTGCATAGAAAGCAATGCACGTTCTAGTACATATAAATCAACTGCTTTATCTTCTGGAAGTGTTGATGTAAAGCTTAAACCAAAGTCAATGAGTACCTGTAGAAGAAATGGTGTTGATCATTCAATGACAATAAGGATAACTTCAACTCACCAACTCTATAGAAAAAGAACGTGCAAATGAGCAATAGCATGACTCCATAAACTATACTGGCAAACAATTCCTTAAATATTACGTAGTACAACATATTGTACCAACAGTCAACTTGCAATGATCAATTATCAACATAATTACCACTAGATAATTGACCGATGACTTGGCAAGTGCCGGTCGATATCTGCAATAGACATATACAAAACTTCAAGCAAATAAAGTGCAAGTGGAAAACGAACCAGCTGATTGGTACCACTGCGTATTAACATGTTTGATGTCGTCAAATCACCATGGATGAGTCCACCATCATGTATTTTGCCAATTGCATAACCTATCTGAAATGCAATGTCAGCCATCCTTTCTTCATCAATACCCCTAGAACCAAAACCAAGGAGGATATCTTTCACAGATGGCCCTTCTACATACTCAAAAGTCAGGGAGTGCAGAACAGGATCAACAGCATAAAGTACAGGAGTAGCAACACCTAGTCTTCTAGCTTTTGTCATACATCTAGCCTCCTGTTCAATATGTTCAGATCTTATTAAGAGAACAATAAGTAAATAAAATTCAAGCAATCATGTGAGTAATGGAATAAGTAAATACACCAACCGCATTTAAGCGTTTTAGAGTAAGTTTCAAGTCCAAAGTTGGATGTCGATACTTCTTTGAAAATCGTTCCTTGACAACTGATCTCCTGCCTACAAATTTAGACTCAAATACTCTCTGAAATTAAAAGAAATTAGGATATCAATGAAGAGGAATCTTGCATAAATACATGAAAGGTGCTTGTAGAAAGCTAAACTGGGAGCACAATAAACAATTTTCAAACTTACTGCCTCAGCTCCTTGCTTAATCAGAACCAGGTCTACTTCTTTTGTGGATGCTTCATTCTCCATCATAAAAAAATTCAAGTAACTGCATTTACAAATATAAAAAATCACTAGCCATTCCCATGGCAGAATCTACTCTGAAAAAGTTTCTACAGTCAAATATCTAATTTGGTATTTTTGCTGGATTTATCAAACCTTTCAATCTTTGTTAGTAAACATTTCCTATACATTATTTTACTGAGTATTACCTATTGTATGTTTTAAATTCAATCAGTAATACTCTGCATATTTTTTTATTGTATATGTTTATTGAAATATTACATATGGCATGACTTGTCAGTTGGCGTTGTGCCTCGCGTCGATTTCAGGATAATTTGCTTTGCAAAAGGGTTTAAATAAGTATTTTATTTTTCATAACTGAAAAAACAAAACCAATACCTTTCACAACCATGTAAAGAAGTTATGCGGAGGAGTATTTGATGCATATATTTGATAACATCGGTCTAAAAAAAAGATCTGTGTACAAGTGATTCAAAGCTTAAGTCACTAACGATAAAAACATTCTACTATTGAAGTATAGCATTATCAGTTAGCAGGAGGCAAGATGTAATGTTTTGTTTGGAACATTTGCTGATACTTTGATTAGTTGTAGATGTGTAAACTTATATTGTTTAAATAGGCTTTGATATATGTGACTTGAAAAAATTCAGATAAAACGGGAATTAGTAATGTTGAACATTAAAAACATGATATTAGATTTTGAGAAGCACTACATACTTGCTCCTCCTCGTTAATATTTGCCTCAAATTGAAACCCATGATTTGCCAAAACATAAAACCTAGTCTGTATTTTTTTTATGGACGTAGTCCGTAGTACTCCTTCATGAAAACTCAATTTTTTAGTACAGAGGGAAAGAAGTAGACTTGAAGCACACACATGAACTCAATTGCACACGGATCAAACCTAATTTTCATACAATTCCATGAAACTTAGTGACAATTTGAAATGACTCACAGCAAACACTGGCAGAGAGGGCTTAGGATGTTTTGAGTTGCAAGTGGGGGAGCACGGTTATTACCCCAACCGAGGCAACCAGGAGGGGCGTAGGCGTGTAGCCATGATGGAGGTTCGGGGAGGTTATAAACTAGAAATACTATGTAAAATTTAAAGTAAATAGTTTGAAAATTAAAATCCACTAAAATCCATAACAATATTTTCAAGTACATATAATATACGGAGTATGAAACTAAAACGTTAATTGAACATGACTTCCGTTGACTTTAGCAAACTCGTCTATTTTTCTATGCTTTTAATAGGCTTAAAGAAAGAATGCAGTGTTTTTTTTGCGTTTTTAGAAGTAGATTGGGTAGTGGAACTTAATTAAATTGGCAAAAAGTAATAAAATAATGGGAAAATGGACAACAATAATCCCAACTATTGGTGATCCGCTTGAAATAATCCAAACTATCAATTATCTCAACATAATTCCAACTATTAGAAATTAAACTCAAAATGCTCCACTGGCTCATACATATTATAAGCAATTTAAGGGTTATTTGATGTCATTGGAGCATTTTGAGAAATTTTTTCAATAGTTAGGATTATTTTGAAAAAATTGATACTTGGGATTATTTCAAGCGGATCACTAATAGTAGGGATTATTCATGTCCATTTTCCCTAAAATAATCAATAGATTGTTTTGAATCACATAATTCATATTAATTTGTTAAGAAACTTACAACCTTAGTTTTTAATTTCACAAATGGAATCACGTAATGTTAAGGTTCGACTGGATAGAGGGGTGGCCAATCCAGATTGGTTGGCCTTATTTCCGGATGCAAAAGTTTGGCACCTGGTGTCGTCAAGATCTGATCATTGTCCGCTCTTACTCCAGTTGCAGCTTCCTGGCTTTAAGAAGGGGGGTTGGAAAATAAAAAGGTATGAATTTTTCTGGGAAAGGGAGGAGGGCTTATGTAAGGTGGTGAAGGACAAGTGGAACAAGTCACGACCTGTGGAGAACCTCGGTGATATGGTGTCTAATCTAAAGTCTCTGATGGTATCTCTCCATGGTTGGGGTCAGTCGTGCATTGGTAATATTACAGAGAAGCTGGAAAAACATAGGACCCGTCTCGGAGTCCTACAAAATGATCACTTATCTACTGCGATGAAGGAAAGAGAGGTGTTAGTTCGGGAAATGGATGAGCTTTTGTATAAGGAGGAGATGATGTGGCTCCAACGATCACGTATCTCCTGGTTGCGGGAGGGGGATAGGAATACAAAGTTCTTTCACAGGAAAGCTGCCTGGCGATCAAAGAAGAACAGAATCTTTCGCTTAAAGGATACAAACGGTGCATGGATTGATGAACCAGAGAAACTGGGGGAGCTGGTTAATACATCTTTCATGGATCTTTATACCTGCGATCTTTCAGTTGAATCCAGGTATTTGTTAGAGGTCTTAGAACCTTTGATATCTGATGATATGAATGCTGGACTGTGTGCGGCTTTTTCAGATAAAGACTTCAGCGAATCTCTGTTTCAAATTGGACCGTTTTTCAGAAGCATTGGGACATACTCTGAGATGATGTCATTAGAGCGGTTCAGAAATTCTTTACAGATGGCGTTATGGAACCGGGTGTTAATGATACCGCTATTGTTCTTATCCCTAAAACTAACAACCCGGAAGTGGTTAAAGACTTTAGACCCATTAGTCTATGCAATGTGATATACAAAATTATATCAAAGTGCTTGGTTAATCGATTAAGACCCCTGCTTGATCATATTATTAGTCCTACACAAAGTGCTTTTATCCCGGACCGCTTGATTACAGATAATGCTCTTATAGCTTTTGAATGTATACATGCATTGCAGCAGAAGGAGGATGAACGAGGACAATTTTGTGCTTATAAGTTAGACCTTGCAAAAACTTATGATCGGGTTGATTGGCAGTCTCTGGAGAGTATCTTGATGACCTTGGGTTTCCACCGCAAGTGGGTAAATTGGAATATGAAATGCGTTACTCGGTCCGTCTCAATGGGGAGCAACTGCAGGAATTTGAACCGACGAGAGGCCTGAAGCAAGGTGATCCCCTTTCGCCTTACTTATTCTTGTTGGTTGCCGAGGGTCTATCGTGTTTATTAAAGAGGGAGATTCGTTGTCATAGACTGAAGGAGATGAAGATCTGTCGTGGGGCTCCAGGGCTGTCACACCTGCTTTTTGCAGATGATAGTCTCCTCTTCTTTAAGGCAAACCATGATCAAGCTTCGGTTGTGAAAGAAGTTTTGTCAAAGTATGAGAAGTGCACGGGCCAACTTCTGAGTTTAAATAAATGCTCTATTTTGTTTGGAAGATCATGCCAAACTGCCAATACGGAAGAGGTGAAACGCATCTTAGGCGTGGAGAAGGCTGGTTTCGATGAGAAATATTTAGGACTCCCAATGCCTAAGGGAAGAATGGAGAACGAAAGGTTCCAAACTTTAACGGAAAAATTCAACAAAAGGCTTAATGGGTGGTCTGAAAATTTTGTCTGCGGGAGGCAAAGAGGTGTAGATTAAGTCAGTAATGCAAGCATTACCAACATACTCAATGGGAGTTTTTAAACTGTCGGCTGGTTTATGTGAGGACTTAATAAAAATGATTCGGAACTTCTGGTGGGGAGATGATGTGAATGACAGGAAGGTTCACTGGATTGCTTGGGATAAGCTTTCGTCCCCAAAGGGTTATGGAGGTTTGGGTTTTCGGGACTTATAAGCTTGTAATCAAGCTCTTTTGGCTAGGCAAGCTTGGAAGCTCATGAAATTTCCCGAACACTTATGCGCACAGGTGCTTAAAGCCAGGTATTACCCGGATGGTCAAATACATGATACAGTGTTGTTTGCAGGTGGTGGTTCTCCTTGGCAGGGGATTTTACACAGTCTGGAACTTCTGAAAAAAGGCATAATCTGGCGCATTGGTTCAGGAGAAGGAGTGGACATATGGCGTGATAACTGGCTTCCAAGATACTTTTCTCTCAAAATAATTGGTAGCCGGAGTTTCACCAGGTGTAGGAAAGTGTGTGACCTCATAATGCCCGGTGAGAGTAAATGGGATGTGGACCTCATCCGTGAGAAGTTTTGGCCTTGTGATGCGGATGAAATACTGAAGTTAAAGCTTCCAACAAACTTGAGGGAGGATTTTTTGGCATGGCACTATAGCAGAAATGGTGGCTTTACAGCTAAAAGTGCATGTGTTCTTGCCATTTCAGACCGTCTGCGTGCTCAGAGCATGGGAGAGAGTAGTATTGCAGGGAATGGGGATTGTGGCATTTGGAAGGTATTATGGGAAACTAAAGTCCCTCAGAAGATACGTATCTTTGGCTGGAGGTTGGCTCAAGAAGCGTTAGCAACGCAGGTCAATCGGCACCAGAGAACGCTGTCCCCAAGTGGCATGTTCTCGATATGCGGACATCAAAATGAAGATGGTTTTCATGTTGTGGTCGATTGTACAAAAGCAAGAGCATTGCGGTGCAGGTTGAGGGCGATTTGGGAGTTACCCCCACAAACTCAATTCAGGAACATTGGACCTGAATGGCTTTTAAACCTTTTGAACGGAGTTGATAAGGAACTGCGGCCACGTATTCTGCTGCTCTTCTGGCGAGCTTGGCATTTGCGCAATGACGTGATACATGGAAAAGGGTTGGCCTCAATCAGAACGAGTGTGTGCTTCTTATCCTCCTATCTGGAGTCACTTGACCATCTGCATCATGACTCGGTCGATTACAAGGGCAAATCTAAGGGTATGAAGGAATACTCAGTTCCTGCACTCTCAAATTCCCGCTGGTTCCCTCCGCCTGAAGGTTGGGCGAAACTAAACTCAGATGCGAGTTTTGACCCGGTAACAAGTGGAGCTACGGCCGGGTATATAATACGCAATTGCAGAGGCGAGCTTCTCATTTCTGCTTGGAGAAGACTTCCAAATTGCATTTCAGCAGAGGAGGCCGGGGTTTTAGCGTGTGCAAATACGGTTCAGATTGCAACGACCTGGATCAACATGCCGCTTGTCATCGAAGGGGACTGTGCTACGGTCAAGATCAGTCTGTCCACACCGGGCAAAGATGCCTCTCAATTTGGGAACTTGTTGCAGGAGGTGAAAGAGCTGACGTCCGTTTTCCCAGATGTGCGCTTCAACTTGGTTAAGAGGGAGGCTAATTATGCAGCCCATAAATTAGCTCAATTAGCTAAGGAAACTGATGAGGTAGAGGTGCTACTGCTAGAGGCTCCCTGACAGATTAATGAAACTCTAAACTCTGACTGTAATCCTGCATCTTTCTATTAGATATATATGTTTTCCCGCAAAAAAAAATCGTATTTATCAAACTGTCAAATAGTCCATCAGAATATTCAAGAATCAAGATTTGAATCTATTAACTACTTACATTAAAATACAAAAATTAAAGAATAAACACTTAAATGTTAGGACTTACCTACTGCGGTGCTGCCTGGGACGATTAGCAGGAGGCAGGTAGAAGTCCCAGAAGCTGAGAAGAGAAGCAGACTGAAAAGCAGCGGCGGTGGGAGGCGTGCGGGTCTGCGACGGTGTGAGGCGGGTAAGGCGGGATTGGGCAATGGGCTAGCACTAGGCCAGACTATTCTTTTCACTGGGCCAGTAAAATTCCATAAAAGTCCATATCACTTACCACACACATCTTTTCGTATCCCATGCAAATAAAGATTTACTAATCACAGCCACATAATTAAATATTACTATCTCGGTATCTCCGTAACATTGGGATGTTCCATTTGAAAAGTAGGTAGATTAAGAATAGTGAAAGGAGATATGTATTATTAGGGGTATGATGAGAAGATAGTGAAATAATGTGATGGAATGAAGGATAAATCCAAAAAAGTAGGTGTAATAGTGTATTATTTTTAAAATTATTGAGGGTATGATGGGAAGATTTAGAAATGGGAAGATATTAGTGTTACGTCCAAAAAAGGAAAGTGGAAAGATATTAATATTACGAAAAGTAGTAATAAATTAATTTAAATCAAATATCCAAAGTACACACTTCATTCGGCGAAGAAGCCAAAGAAGGGCTGCAAGCTTTCTGCACAATGAAGAAATAGTCACAATTCACAAAACACATAGGAGAAGAACAACCGAAACAAAATTGCAAATCGTTCTCCTATCAAAGCTTATTTATTCATAAACGGCTAAAGGTTTTTTTTACATTTACAGTTTGGTTTTGGAGGAAACGTAAATTAAAAATATTGGGGGAAAGGATAGCTTTGAGGGGCAATCCCTTGCTTTCAAAGTCCTAATACAGTAAATCAAAACCCCCAACATTGTAGCAAAAGCCGTTCGCAGTTCTACCGATCTCATCTCGTGCAAATAGATCTGGAATGAAAAAATTGTCCCTCTACTCCATTTAGACTTGATGGTGAGGAAGAAATGACAGCGACCAAGGGTAAGAGCATTTGGACTTGGTAGTGACGAAAAAGTGTAATCGAGAGAAGGGTTGTGGAAAGGGAAGAAACCTGATTTCGTTAGCTTCTTCTTCGGCAAAGTTCAGATACGGGTGTGAGTAGAAGTTCAAAGGACAGGTTCTACGAGAATCGATTGAGCACCGTTCAGTAACGGCCTTTTTGGATTGAGGGTTAGCGGTGTTAGTAATGGAAGTGTTAGTAAGTGTTAGTAACGGCCCGGAAAGGAAGGTAAGTGTAAGCGTTAAACATAACCTTACCTTGTTTGGGAGAGCTAAAAAATAAAAGTGTTAGTAATGGAAGTGTTTTCACATAAATTGACAAAAATATCCTCAAGTGTTAATATTAGCTATAAGTCTATATAATAATACATTCTCCACGTAAATGCTCAAAAATTGCAAGTGTTCTAACTCTAATCAATCAAATCAAATTGTAGTTGTTGTTCAACTTGAAAAACTTTCCATGTCAAATGGTAAAAATAAAATAAAAAAGAAAGTGCTAAAAATATATTTTATGCAATATGCTAAAATTAAAATATTCTACATATGATATATGTACATATCCCACGTAAAGTGCTAAAAAATGTGGATCAACACTACACATTAAACTAAACCCCCAACTTGTATAATTTATTTTTCAAAATCACGACTCTCAATTTTAATTATAAATTACGACCATTCGAAAAATGTTAAATATATGTGACCAAAAATATGAGCAAAATTAGTTCCAAATCATCAAGTAGCAATACAACAGTTCCAAACGAAGCAAAAGTAATAGTCTCAAAGCGCATAAATTGTTTGAATGTCAAATTCAAAAATATAATGATAAAACGTCAATTTACTAGCTCATGCCATCATGTCATGAAGAAGACTGCTCCGGCTTTCAACTGGACATCCAAGTCGACATAGCTTCATAAAAGCCCCACAAAAGCGGTTCAGAGAAGTGCACAAAGGAAAATCCAGAGAACATGACTTTATGACTAGCAAAAGTTCCCACGAATACCAATCCCAAAGTGAAAAAAAACACTGAGCAAGCGTATTTATATAAATCCTTACAAGTTACAATACCTAGTTTCACTATCTTAAAATTCAGGCAAGCATTAGGTACACCAAAACGAAAAAGGGCAATTACGCTATCTCAGAGCTACATCAAAATGAAAAAGGAGAAACCTGGTGGAGAAGGAGAACAGTCTGCTGGAGCCGCGGGAGTGAAGGAGAACCGTCAGGCTCTTTGTTGCGGAAGAAATAATGGAGGACGTTGGGAAGGAATAGATTTGGCAAAAGTTGTCCAACCCTTCATGACACTCCAATTTGGAGTGTTAAAAAAATGATAAATATAGGTGTTAGGAAGGTTATTGATAACACCCCTAAACACTTATTAACACTTCTGGATTTTTTTTATTTTCCTCCCAAACAGGTGTTAAACTAAACACTCCTCAATACTTCCATTACTAACATCCGCCAACACTCAATCCAAACAGGCCGTAAGGGTATAATAGGGTTATTTAAATGTGTCTGGTTAGTAAAAAGGAGCTGTGGAACAGACAACTCATTTTCGAACAGACAACTTGTCTGTGAGGGACAAACAAGTGTACAAAACTTGTGTACAAATTTTGTGTACACCTAGCTCCACCCGTATATAGAATTTCCCAATAAAGGATGTTTCTACTTAGATTGAAATTTGTTGATCTGATTTAATAAGATCTGATCTGACATGTTTAATTCTGGTTTAGTCTGCTTTGATATGAACCGGTCTGGTCTGGTAGATGTTTGGTCTCTATGTATTTTATAGTGGAAATTACTCATACGGTCCACTTTGGTGTGCCATATACTCTCTTCGTTTGTTTGCTACACTTTCCTTTTTGGGATGTGTTTAAAAATTTGCTACACTCCCATTTTTGGTAAGTTTAACTTTTTATAAAATATTCAACTACCCTTACTTTTTCTACTTTTAATCTTCTCTTTCGTATTTTTACACACTCTCACCTACTTTTTCTACACTATTCATTACACCTGCTATTTTATTCCTTAAATAATGTGTCAAACCTAATGTAGTAAACAAAAAAAAATACGGAGGAAGTATCATTTATGGCTCGACAATTTTTTCTATTCATTTTAATCTTTTGTATTTTCAATTATGTTTTCTTATTTCAGTTATAGACTGAAATTCTACCCACCTCCTCCAAGAATTCGTATACGATACACCCGGTTGTATGGGTGGGAACCGTACATTCAGGTATTTTTGTGATTTTGCCAAACTTTCCGTCTAATTTAATTAGCTTTTGTTAGTCCCTTGTCTTGTCTAGCGTGTGTCTGCTACCTGCATATCCGGATTTCACAGCTTTCACCGCAGCCCATGACCCGTGATTTTGATCACATTCTTTTCTTTTGTTTTTTATATATTTATAATTTATAATTATACACTATTAAATTGACTCTTACAAGTTTTGAATAAATTATTTAATAAATTATCAATTATTATATCTATAAGAATTATAAAAAAATCATCAACAATTTTATATTCCATGATACACTATTCAAGACTTAAACTTTATTTTGTTACTTTCATAATGTTAATCAATTCACATTTATGTACATTATGTTCATATTAGTATATAAAAAACTCATTTCAATAGTCCATACGTAGTAGTGCTCATATTAAAACGTTATGGCAGTTTTAGTGAACATGAATTATATTCTATTGAGTATTAGAAGTCTAATAATGAGCATCACGATATCTGCTTCATGTGTTCTAATTAACTTTCTTTTTCTTATTTTTTCTATTATAATCATTTTCTATGAACTTCAATATTTAAATCTAATGTAATATTGTACTTTTGAAATATGCATTGATATGACATTTTTAAAAGGGAAAAGAGGCAAATAAGCCCTCGAACTAACTAAAAAAGTGCAAATCACCCCTTATATTGTAGGCTCTGTCTGGCCGTCGCCATTTGGGGAGGTTCCTGGTAGAATTTTTTGATGAAATATTTTGAGCAATCTTCTTCATTAAGTCTAATTTACCCATACCAATTTCCACATAAAAAATCAATCTGGAAGGCAATCAAATGAATTTTTGAAGATAACTGTGCAGTTAAACAACGCAGTACATTTCAGAAAATCATTTGACTGTCTCCCCGGTTTAATTTTTAGCTGAAGTTTGATATGGGTAAACTAGACTTAATGAAAAAGATGCTCAAAAACTTTCATCAAAAAATTCTACCGGGAACCGCCCCAAATGGCGACGGCCGGACAGAACCTCATATATAAGGGGTGATTTGCACTTTTTTTTGTTAGTTCGAGGGCTTATTTGCTACTTTTCCCTTTTTAAAATGAGCATAACATGGGTACCAATTGAGTACACGCAACTTACAAAATGAGCAATGATATAAAAATCATACTTTTTTGTTGAGCATCAAAACATTTTTATTGAGTATCAAACAACTTCTATTGAATATTACAAACATGCAATTGAGTATCATGGTTTGTGCTCCGGTATCTATAATCAACTCCTACGTGAATCTAATGTAATATGCTACTTTTTAAATATGTATTGATATAACATTTTAAAATGAGCATAACATCAGTACAAAATGACTATACATTACTTACCAAATGAAGAATGATATGAAAATCATAAGTTTTGATAGTTGAGCACCAAGACATTTTTAATCACTAGTAAAAAAATGGCTTATAGTGACACTAAATTAGTGTCACTAAACGATTTAATGACACACTGAAAGTGTCATAGAAAAGCGGGGCAAGTGACACAAAATTTAGTGTCACTGATTGCTAAACAGATTAGTGTCACAAAAGTATGACAATAAAATATCACATAAAATTATGACATTATAATATCATAACTTTTTTTGACACTCTGGTATCATAAAGATATATGATACATTAGTATCATAAGTATGTATGTATGTGTGTGTGTATATATATATATAGGGTAAGGTTCAAGTGAGAAGAACCCTTTGAGTGAGAAATGAGAATGAATCTCAACCATTGGATTCGACTAAGTTGCAGTAAAAGACACTTCATGATGCACTGAAATATGCAATCTAACACGGTGGCATTTCTGTAAATACTTCTGAAAAATCTGTATTACATGTGTCTAGTGCAACATGAAGCTATTTCGATGCAACGCCGTCAAATATTAGTGCAACATGAAACAGTTTTAGTGCAACATGTGCAAAATTTAAATATTACTGCAACATAAAGCCAATTTTAGTGCAACTTCGTAAATCCAATGGCTGAGATTCATTCTCATTTCTCACATTAGATGCACTTCTCACCTGAACCAAAATCTATATATATATATATATATATTTATATACATATACCTCGTATATATTTATATATATATGTGTGTGTAATATAATTTAATACTAATAAATAACCAAAAATCAAATATTTTTATTTATATCTCAATTTCTCACATAAATGTGAATGTACATACTACATAATTCATGGGGGCACACCCCGAAACAACAACTAATATACAAGAACAAAACGCTAACAAGTCTAACTTTTACACCACATTTTCTAGGGCCTTCACATATCTTCTTTTGCAGTCTTGCACAGAATGAAACCTTTGCTTCAATCTTTGCCAACTCCATCAGAATCACACATAACCTGAAACATTAATAGAACAACATAGATAGAAATAAAATCGTTAAGGTATTGAATATGCCAAAATTGGTCTAAATAAGCATACCATGATTATTTTTCTCACGTGAAAGTGAGAATAGATGTGGCAAAAATATAGACTTAATGAGTAAAGTAAGAACTAAGGATACAAACCTTGATCCAGGGTCAGTGATTTCCTTTGCTTCAATCTTTTATTCGTACCTCTTCAACCTGCATAATGTGTTCATAACTTCACATTACACTTATTGAAATGAAACCACTGTCAATTTGAACACAATTGATGACAAAGAACAAAACAGAACTATCAACTTTTTTGAAAATTTTCAACTTTCTGATCTAGAGTATCTTTTAATTCTTACACTTTATCTATACTATTCATTCCTTACTATTTCACTCTTAAACTTGTGCAAAAATCTAATGTTACAAACATTTAAAGGTAAATAAAATAGGAAGAGAAAAAAAGTAGTAAGTATTTACCACAGTGGACTTAGATCTGCACCTGTAGTTCCTTAACATTCACACATTGTTTAAGATTCAGTTTGACTTAAAAAGGTAAAGTTTACAATTGATAGTAAGAAAGCAAGTACACTTCGCAATCGTAAATTGAAAACTCAAAAAATTGCAAATAAGCAAAACGGTATTAAGAAGAACACGGGCATTTTTGGGAAGCACTGCGAAAGATAAAAAATCAGAACTAAAACTTAACCTTTTGAGGGTTTTTTCCCACCACTTTTGTGTCTCCGTTTTCGTCAAACTATCCATCTTTTCTCTTCGCTTTTCTTTCACTCTTCTGCTCTGTGGCCCATTTGACCACATAGAAAACATTTGTCTTCCTGGCCAGGAGGGAATATAACTTGGAAAGGTGAATGAAATTTAAATCAGTCCATCAAGCAAAAGAGAACAGTAACCCAAAATTCAACTGTGGGCAGCAAGCAGAATTGCTATAAATCAGCAAACCAAATAATCCACCTGGGATTACACAACTACCCATAATCAAAACTAGCATGCATCACTAGCTATCCAGCCAACCCGGAAGTAAAATCAATCACCCAACAATCAAAAATTAACCAAACCAGCAACTAAAAATCAATTACAGTAGTAGGATAAATACGGAGAAGGATCTTATATACTGCCACCTTGATTTTAGCGAGCACATTCCGGGGCTGGAAAAGGACATGATCAAAGTAAGATGAATTTGTTCAGAATTAATGAAATGGGCTTTGGAAGGATGTTGTTCAGAATTTCAAAAGGACTAATGATTAAAAAAGTGCAGAATTCTTGAACCTTATGAGTGGGAAGAGAACAACCTTTCAATATATGTTTGAGTAGCAATATCTTCCCCACCAATATATGTTTGAGAACAACCTAATATATGTTTTAATTAGGGTCAATTAACTATTATTGTTATAATAGTCAATTAACAAACTGCAAATTTTGGCATTGGTTGGGATTAAAATAATCTGAAGTACCTTTATTCGCTCACTCTCCTCCTGATAATATCGCTCCTTTGGTATGTAGATACCATTCTTTTCACGAGCAGCATAAACCTCTACAAAGAAACAATACAATAAAAAGGATAACAATTACTTGAGCAATAATTTTAAGTAGAAAATAAATAAATATTCTTAATACGATGTACTGGTATTACCTGATTTAAGCCGCTCAATTTCCCCATA